GGAAAGAAAGAAAGAAGGAAAGGAAAGAAAGAAAAAGAAAAGAGGAAGGAAGGAAGGAGAAAGAGAAGGAGAGAAAAAAGGAAGGAGAAAGAGAAAGAAAAGAATGAAGGAAAGGAAAGAAAAAAAGAAAAAGAAAAGAGGAAGGAAGGAAGGAGAAAGAGAAGAAAAGAAAGAAAGAAGGAAAGAAAGAAAGAAAAAGAAAAGAGGAAGGAAGGAGAAAGAGAAAGAGAAGAGAGAAAAAAGGAAGGACAAAGAGAAAGAAAAGAAAAAAAGAAGGAAAGGAAGGAAAGAAAGAAAGAAAAAAAAGAGGAAGGAAGGAAGGAGAAAGAGAAAGAGAAGGAAAGAAAGAGAAAAAAGGAAGGAGAAAGAGAAAGAAAGAAAGAAAGAAAGATGGATTTTTCCATGAACCAAGCCATGTTCTACCTGGGGAACGCTGGTTGTGTGAAACTAAGCATACCTCCCTGTCTTTGGAGATAAAGGTAGTCCTTGATTTATGACCAACAATCGAGCTAAGCAAGACAGTTGCCGCTTTTTACAACCTTTCTTGCCAAAACTGTTAGCTGAATCACTACCGTTATTTAGTCACACGGTTGTTAAGCGAATCTGGCTTCCCCCATGGACTTTGCTTGTCAAAAGGTCGCAAAAGGGGATCACGTGTCCTCCTCGGGACACTGCAACCGTCATAAGTACATGCCAGTTGCCAAGCCTCTGAATTTTGATCACGTGACCGCCGGGAGGCTGCGACGGTCGTAAGGGGAGAAAAGGGTCCCAAGCTATTTTTTTCCCAATGCCGTTGTAACTTTGAACAGTCCCTGCTGTAAATCAAGGGCTGCCTGGATCTTTCTTTGGTTCTTAATAATAAAACTTCCCCTTAACATTTACTTCCAATAAAGAAGTGTGTGTGTGTGTGGTTGTATGTGTGTGTGCGTTTGTGTGAAAGCCTCGGTTTTCTTCCGCACGGTACAACCGTCATTCCTGATGGTTGAAAACTGTGACTGTAGATCCGGCGACTCGGAGTTTTTCGTCACTAGTGCGGCTCAAGCAGAAGCCGGTCTGGTCTTTTCTTGGCAAAAAACCGACCGTGGGTTCCTGCCCTGAGCACGGGGTGGACTGGATGACCTCAAGGACTCCTTCCATACCTAGACTTCTATGAAATGAATGAATCAATCATCGATCAAGTCAGCTAAGCATTACAAGTGGGAATAATCTGACTAGCACTGATGAGGTTACCTAGCTTGGTAATGAAACGTCTGCAAGAAAATGGGCAAAGGAGTCAAGCTCTTCTCCAAAGCGCCGGAAGGCAGGACAAGAAGCAACGGATGGAAATTAACCAAGGAGAGAAGCAACCTGGAACTAAGGAGAAACTTCCTGACAGTGAGGACAATTAATTAAATTAATTAATCAATTAATTAAACCAGGGGTCTCCAAACCTGTCAACTTTAAGATTTGAACCAGGATGTTCTCCAAACTTGGCCACTCTAAGACTTCTGGACTTCAACTCCCAGAATTCCATAGGATAAACCAGGGGGGTCTCCAAATATGGCCACTTTTAAGACTTGTGGACTTCAACTCCCAGAATTCCATAGGATAAACCAGGATGTTGCCCAAACTTGGCCACTTTTAAGACTTCTGGACTTCAATGTCCAGAATTCCATAGGATAAGACATTGGTCTCAAACCTGTCAACTTTTAAGACTTGTGGACTTCAACTCCCAGAATTCCATAGGATAAGACATTGGTCTCAAACCTGTCAACTTTTAAGACTTGTGGACTTCAACTCCCAGAATTCCATAGGATAAACCAGGATGTTCTCCAAACTTTGGCCACTTTAAGCCCAGAATTCTGGAAGTTGAAGTCCACAAGTCTTAAAAGTTATCAAGTTTGGAGACCCCCGTAGCGTGGCAGGCTGGGGAATTCTGGGAGTTGAAGTCCACAGAACTTAAAAGTTGATCAGGTTGCATGGCTGCTGGGGCATTCTGGGAGTTGAAGTCCACAAGTCTTAAAAGTTATCAAGTTTGGAGACCCCCCCTAGCATGGCTGGCTAGGGAATTCTGGGAGTTAAAGTCCACAGGACTTCAAATTGACAAGGTTGCATGGCTGGCTGGGGCATTCTGGGAGTTGAAGTCCACAAGTCTTAAAAGTTGTCAGGTTTGGAGATCCCCCTAGCATGGCTGGCTAGGGAATTCTGGGAGTTGAAGTCCAGAGGTCTTAAAGTTGACAAGGTTGCATGGCTGGCTAGGGAATTCTGGGAGTTAAAGTCCACAGGACTTCAAATTGACAAGGTTGCATGGCTGGCTGGGGCATTCTGGGAGTTGAAGTCCACAAGTCTTAAAAGTTGTCAGGTTTGGAGATCCCTGGGATAAACCAACCCCCTTGCCCCTTTTGTCCTGCGTTCTGGAAAACCAAGAAGCGCGAAAGAAGGGCAACCTCTGGACACATCTGTAACAATTTATTGAATGAGGAAGTAGACAGAATTGGGGGGGGGAAACAACAGGGAAACCCCATGCTTTTGACAGTAGTGGCAGCGGAAACGTGTGTTTTTTTTCTTCTTCTTTGGGTCTCGGGGAAATAATTTCTCAGTCTATCAGAACTTTATTCTGTCGCGGGGCGGGGGAAGAAACATAAAAAGGAACACCAACTTTAAAGTCACAGCTGACATCTCTTTACGACGACAATACAAAATAATATTTATAAATGAAAAAACGACAACCCCCCCCCCAAAAAAAAATAAAAATAAAAAATAAAAACCAAAGACTTGGGAAGGAAACGTTCTCCTCTAGTTACGTCCGGGGAAGAAAAACGTGTACGCAAGAGACTCTTGTGGTTTTCCTTTCTTTTTCCTCGTTTTTTAAAATCGGGGGGGAAAAAAGGAGCCAGGTTAAAAACACGGGAATCTGGAAAGGGGGGGGGGGCAGCCTTGAAAAGCCGACGGTTTTGCGAAATGGTTCTTTCAAAGGACGGGAGAAATTAAATACTGCGGAGGACTCCGGGAAGAAGGACGGAGTGGGTGCTTTCTTGCGATTTTTTAGGACCGGGGATGCGGCAGGGGGGGGGTCTCTCTGGAAGCCCCCCCCCCAAATAGGAGATGTAACTGCTCAGTTCAACCTTAGGTGGGGATGAGCTGCTTCTCAGCCACCCGTTCAAGGACCGTTTCCCTCTCCCCTCCCTGGCTTTTTGGGGGTCATCGGTGGGCAGGGAGGAAAGAAGGGAAGAGAGAAAGAGGGAAGGGGAACAGAGGGAGGGGAGAGAGGAAGGAAGGAAGGAAGGGAGGAATAGAGGGAGGGACAGAAGGGAGGGGAGAGAAAGAGGAAGGAAGGAAGGAAGAATAGAGGGAAAGAAGGGAGGGGTGAGAGAGGAAGGAAGGAATAGAGGGATGAAAGGAAGAGGGAGGGGAGAGAAAGAGGAAGGAAGGAAGGAGGAACAGAGGGAGGGAGAGGGAACAGAGGGCGGGATGGAAGGGAGGAGAAAGAAAGAGGGAGGAGAAAGAGGAAGGAAGGAAGGAGGGAGGGAAGGAAGGAAGGAAGGAAAAGGGAGAGGGAACAGAAGGAGGGATGGAAGGGAGAGAGAGGAAGGAAGGAAGAATAGAGGGATGGAAGGAAGGGGAGAGAGAGGGGAGAGAAAGAGGAAGGAAGGAAGGAAGGAAGGAAGGAAAAGGGAACAGAAGGAGGGATGGAAGGGAGGGGAGAGAGAGGAAGGAAGAATAGAGGGATGGAAGGAGGGGGAGAGGGGAGAGAAAGAGGAAGGAAGGAAGGAGGAATAGAGGGAGGGACAGAAGGGAGGGGAAAGAGGAAGGAAGGAGGTACAGAGGGAGGGATGGAAGGGAGGAGAAAGAAAGAGAGGGACGAGAGAGAAAGAGGAAGGAAGGAAGGAAGGAAGAAAAAGGGAGAGGGAACAGAAGGAGGGATGGAAGGAAGGAAGGAAGGAAGGAAAAGAGGGAACAGAGACATCACACCTTTTCATAAAGCATGAATGGACTCGGATGCCGGTGGCCAAGAGCTACTGGCAAGGATGATGGGCCATGGGGTTGGATCAGCCAGGAGAGGAGAGAGGCCCAGGACTGCCCCCTATGGATCTTGACTGAGAAAGGGGATTTTTTTCGCAAGCTTTCCACACGAGGGGGCACCCGTTGACGGGAAAGGGATCCAAAACCAGAACGGTCGCGCCTGGCCCTTGAGACGCGGGAAGAACGATTTTGAGGGTTCGTGGATCAAAAACGGGGGGCGGTGATGGAATCGTGAGGAGGGGGTTACCCTCTTTGCAGCGTGCCCCCTGCCTCTTGTTTAGACCTTTTACAACTCGCGAGGGCAGAGGAGGAAGAAAGCTGAAACAGATCAGCGCGGGAAGGGACAAGGATCCTCGGACGAGTCGTCTCGCGTGGACTTTCCAACGGGAAGGAGGTCGGACGGTCCGATCCCACCTGGCTACGAAAGAGTCCCAGAAGGCCGGACACCGATCCGGAATCGGCGGAACGACCGCCATCCCCGTCTCCTCCAGGAGACGTGATTTTTTTTCCCCCCTCCGGCGTCTTTTCGGGGAAGAAAAACTGTCTTTCCCCCAAAGGCGTCTCGACTTTTCTCGTTCTCGTACGAAAATTCTCGTCCGTATGAAAAGAAAGCCCTATATTCCCGAGGCGAGGACGGCGGGGGGGGGGAGAGCCCGGTGGGAACGATGGGACGGTGAGAGTCTGCCAAGGGAGGGACGCCCGGGACCCCCGACTTCACAAACCAAGGACAGGGAAGCTTTCCGATCCTCGCCCTTCTTCGGAACGGGCGATCCATGCAAGGAAAGCCGGGCCTATCCTGTCCGGACGAGCCGCCTCACTCCCGATGGGAACGGGTGGGTCCGCTCGAGGCCCGCAGGCCTTTTTCCCGCTCTGGGTTGTGTAGTCCAAAGTGGCGAGACTCCGGCGCCCCCTGATTGCCTTTCCGGAGAGGTGTAGAAAAATCGTTTCGGAGAAGAGAGGAAGAAGCTGCGGCCTCACCATCCGGCCCCCGTCGGCCGTCATTGTTCCAGGGTGACCACTTCCACCGCCTGGCCGTCCATGGTGACGGTGCTGTCGGTGATCCTGGCGGTCACGGGGGCCATGGCGACCTGGACGGGCCCGTTGCCCTGCGCGAGGCTGGTGACCACCGTCTGGTACATGCTCACCGGGATCTGGACCAGGCCTGGGGAAAGATTTGGGGGGGGGGAAGGGGGGGGGGAGATGAAGAAAGATAAGTTATTTCTACCAGCCGATGAAAAGAGGAAGACAAAAATCAACACAGGGAGTCCTCGATTTACGACCACCATTGAGCCCAAAGCGTATGTTGCTAAGCAAGACGGTTAAGTGAGTTTTGCCCCCTTTTTATGACCTTTCCTGCCGCGGACATTAAATGAATCGCTGCAGTTGTTCAACGAATCTTGGTTGTTAAGTTTTTAAGAAGAAACTGGACAGGCATTTGTCCAAAATGGTATAGGGTTTCCTGCCTGAGCAGGGGGTTGGACTAGATGACCTCCAAGGTCCCTTCCCACTTTACCATTATTATTATTATTATTCCTTTCCCGCAATGACTTTGCTGGTCGTAAGGCAGCTGGGAAGCGTACAAACGCCGATCACGTGACCACGGCAACCGTCGGTAAGTACACGCCAGTCGCCAAGCCCCCAAATTTTGATCACGTGACCCCGGGGATGCGGCGACGGTCGTTAAGGGTGAAAACTGGTCGTAGGTCACCTTCCCAGCTGGCCTCTGACAAGCAAAGTCGATGGGGGAAGCCGGATTCGCTTAATGACCTCATAATTCACTTAACAACTGTGCCAGGAAGAGTATACAGGTAGTCCTCAATTTACAATAGTTCATTTAGTGACCCTTCAAAGTTACAACGGCACTGAAAAAAAGGGACTTAGGACCGTTTTTCACATTTACAAGCCCTTGATCACATGATCGAAGTTCAGAGGCTCGGCAACTGGCGTGTACTTATGACAGTTGCGCGTCCCGGGGGTCAACTGGTCAACTTTTGCGACTTTCTGACAAGCAAAATCAATGGGGGGAAAGCCCAATTCACTTTACAACCGTGTTACTCACTTAACAACTGCGGTGATTCATTTAGCAACCGTGGCGAGAAAGGTCGTAGAACGGGGCGAAGCTCACTTAACAAATGTTTCGCTTACCGGACATAAACTTTTGAGCTCAGTTGTGGTCGTTAACGCGAGGACTACCTGTGTGTAACTTTGCGTAACCTAGATAACAATTGTGGCAGGAAAGGTCATAAAATGGGGGGAAGGGGGCAAAACTCAACAACTGCCTTGCTTAGGGACGGAAATTCGGGGGCTCAATTGTGACCGTAAAGACTGTGATAGCTTAAAAGGTGAAAACAGACCCACACTTGTGGCATTCACACGGCTGTGTGTGAAAAGTTTTTGGATGCCTGCTTGGTTAGAAAAGATGTGGGGGGAACACGTAGATTTTAAACCTGAACTTTTTTTTTTAATTAGGTGTAATGCCAGAAAAGACTAACAAACAAAAGCGTGTATTTGATTTTGCACGGCACAACAGCGGCCAGAATAATATTTGCGCAATATTGGGGAAAAGGAAAGAATACCACCCGATGAAGAAATAATCAAAAAAATATACTGGAATGGGCAGAGACGGACAGATTGGACTATGAGACTGAAAGAAAAAGAAGAAACGGAATATTATCAAATTTGGGACTTACTTTACCGACGGTTAGACTGCAGTGTTTCTCAACCTTGACCATTTTTAAGGCATGTGGACTTCAACTCCCAGAATTCCACAGCCAGCAATGCTGGCTGTGGAATTCTGGGAGTTGAAGTCCACATGCCTTAAAATGGTCAAGGTTGAGAAACACTGGGTTAGAGGAAAGAATAAATAAACTGGCAGGACTGGCCTAAGGGTTATTTTTAACTTGGTTTTATAATAATTTTTTTTTAAAAAAAAATTAAATTATAAAGGCCTTATAATAATATTTTATTTTAATTAACTTTTTAAGGTTAGTATTTTTGTAGTTATGTACTTGTTTTTAAAAAGGCTGTAAGCCGCCCTGAGTCCGCAGGGAGAAGGGCGGGGTAGAAATTTAAATAATAAATAAATAATAAATAAAATAACAAGGATTAGGAATTAAATAGGTATTAGCGTATTTAAACTCAAGACAGCACGCGGGGTTGAAAAATTATTATTGTGTGTTATGGAAAAAACTAATAAAATCTTATTAAAAACAGTTTTTTGATGCACAGCTGGGTACACAAAAGCCCACAACACCGCAAGAAAGGGACAGAGGCAGAACGCGCTGAATCGCTCACGGACAAAGAGAAGCGAGGCGAGAAGCAAAACGAGCCGTACGCCGTTTGCCTGAGACGGAATAGGGTTTCCTGCCTGAGCAGGGGGTTGGACTAGAAGACCTCTGAGGTCCCTTCCGGCTCTCGTTCTTCTGTTAGATGGCTTTTGCATTCTCCCTGCTGGTCCTCTGTGGCCAGCTGCAGCCTGTTCCCTGTGCTCCATCCGTGGGCCTTGAGTAAACACGCGCACGCAACCTCCTCCGTCTCTTTTGTGTTGTGCACCTGCACACCAAAACTGGGTGTGTGTGTGTGGGTTTTTGGGACACCTGTCACCTGCCCGGGTTCAAAAGTACCGCAGGAGGAATTAGACCGAACGGAGGGGGACGCGGCCGGTAAATCCCAAGCTTTTGGCAGTGATAAGAGGAAGAAATGTTATTTTTTTTTAATCCTTCTCAGGGAAATAATTTGTGAGCCGACCGATCGGAACGGAGCTGGAAGAGGACCCCGGAGGTCATCTAGTCCAACCCCCTGCTCGAGCAGGAGACTTTAGATACCGTTTCAGACAAGTGGCTGTCCACAGTCTCTTCTTGAAGGCCTCCCGGGATGGGACACCCGCAACGGAATAGCAGAGTGGGGAAGGGACCTCGGGGGGTCATCTAGTCCAACCCCCCGCTCGAGCAGGAGATCCTCTATCAATTCTGGATAAACGGCGGTCCCATCTCTTCTTTAAAAACCTCCAGGGATGGAGAACGCACAACAGAATAGCAGAGTTGGGAGGGGACCTCGGGGGTCATCTAGTCCAACCCCCTTGCTCAAGCAGGAGATCCTCTATCAATTCTGGATAAACGGCCGTCCGATCGCTTCTTTAAAAACCTCCAGGGATGGAGTACGCACAACAGAATAGCAGAGTTGGGAGGGGACCTCGGAGGTCATCTAGTCCAACCCCCTTGCTCAAGCAGGAGATCCTCTATCAATTCTGGAGAAACGGCCGTCCGATCGCTTCTTTAAAAACCTCCAGGGATGGAGTACGCACAACAGAATAGCAGAGTTGGGAAGGGACCTCGGAGGTCATCTAGTCCAACCCCCTTGCTCAAGCAGGAGATCCTCTTTCAATTCTGGATAAACGGCCGTCCCATCTCTTCTTTAAAAACCTCCAGTGGATGGGAGTACCCACAACCTCCGGAGGGGAATTTCCTCCAGGTTCCAGGGTGGAATTCTTCCCTCTCTACCTGGTGGATTAAAAAAACGGCAAGGGGGCTGAGTTGGGGGCACCCCTTCCAATCTTCAAAGGGATATAATTAAGATTATTTGAAGGACACGTGGAAGGGGGGGGGGAGAAGAAAGTAGTGAGATCAAAAGCTGAGGATTTCCAGCCCTGAAGCAGCTTTGGATTTATGCCCTTTTTTTTATTTCCTTCTGAAGCTGAAAATGTGGAAATACTCCCCCAAACCGGCTCTTCCTCATTCCTTCACCCCCATTGAGCAGAGAGTCCTCCCCCCCCCAACCACACTTGTCCATCAGGATGCTCCGATGGAGCCCGGAAGGGAGGATTGCTAAATGAGAAATGTGTTGAGTTTTGCCCCATTTTACGACCTCCCTTGCCACGGCCGTTAAGCGAATCGCCGCCGTTGTTAAGTAGGTTAACCCGGTTGTTAAGCGAACTGGGCTCCTCCATGGACTTTGCTTGCCGGAACATCGCATAAAGGGGATCGCAGGATCCCCGGGGGAACAGGGCGACCGTCATAAATGCGAGTCAGCTTGCCGAGCGTCTGGATTTTGATCACCTGATCCTGGGGATGCTGCGACGGTCGTTAAGGGTGAAAAAACGGCCGCGAGTCGCTTTTTTCAGCGCCGCTGCGCCTCCGAACGGCCGCTAGACTGTTGTAATTCGAGGACTGCCCGTACTCAATTTACAACCGTCACGGAGCCGGCCGTGACGGTTGTAAAGCAGATCAGTCACGTGACTTTACTAGCAGTCTTGTTAAGGGAGTGCAAGGTCACTAAACGAAGCATTACAGGCCCTCCTCGACCTACGACCGTGATGGAGCTGGCCGCGACAGTCGTAAAACGGATCAGCCGTGGGACCTGACCACCTTTTTTTTTTTGGGCGGCAGTCGCTCAGTGAATGCAGAGGTCGCTAAGCGAACCCACACGGGCAGCCCTCGATTTACGACCTTAAGGGAGCTTGCTCTGAATTTTGATCACATGGGGGAGGCCGCGACGGGCGTTAAGTGTAGAGAAACGGTCCGAGGTCGCTGTTTTTTTAGCGACGTCCTAACTCTTAAGCGGTCGCTAAATGAACCGTTGTAAGGAGAGGACTCCCCGTATTTGACCGCCTTGGCCAAAGGACGGGAAAAATAAACGGAAGAAGTAAAGTGAGAAAAAATGTAGCTGGAACGGGCCAATGAATGAATGCGGGACGTTGTGTGTGTGTGTGTGTGTGTGTGTGTGTGTGTGTAGAATAAAATAAACCCAGAGCTTAAAAGGGGTGGCCTTGTAAAAACAACCCCATCCCAAACCTGGAATTACCGAAACCATCGCCAGCGACCCTTCGTTGCGGAAGGATTAAGCCAGTGGTTCTCAACCTTTTTAATGCCGCGACCCCCAACCGGTCGTAAGTCGAGGACTAAACCGGTCGTAAGTCAAGGACTACCCAACCGGTCGTAAGTCGAGGACTCCCTGCCCGGGAGTGCCGCGCATGCGTGGTTCCGCCCCCTGCGCCGGCCGAGGCGTAGCTGGCAAGCGGCAGAGACGGAGCAGGCTGACCACCAGCTGGCCCAGCCCAAGGGAGGTAAGGCACCTGCCGGAAAAGGGAAAAAAAAATGGCGGATAAAAAAAATGGCGGCCAAAAAAAATGGCGGACAGCCTTGCTTGGCGACCCCCATGAAATGGTTGATCGACCCCAAATGGGGTCCCGACCCACAGGTTGAGAACCACTGGATTAAGCCAAACCACCTGGGTGTCTGATGCGACAGCCTTTGGGGGCTGCTGGGCTGGGAGGAGAGGGGTGGGCAACGGGGTGGGAAGGCCGATTGAATCTCCCGCCCCCTCCCCAGGGCTGAGCTAGCTGACCTCAGGAGGGACCAGACGGGAGCTCCAGAGACCCGGGGGATCGGGCCTCGGATTGTCCCCGCGCCCGATCTGACCTCCTGATTAGCCTTAATCTACCGGCAGACGTCAATGTCAAGCTTGGGATTGTAGGTCTTTTTGTGGGATTAAAGGCACAATCCCTTCGCTCTCCCCTTGTGCAAAGGCACCGGGGATTGGGATGAGGACACGCAAGGCTCAACGGTGGGAAGTGTGAGAGGGACCTCGGAGTCCTGGTGGACCATCGCTTAAATAGGAGCCAGCCGTGTGCGGCAGCAGCCAAAAAAGGCCAACACAATCCTAGGCTGCATTAACAGAGGGATAGAATCAAGATCAGGTGAAGAGTTAATACCACTTTACAAGGCCTTGGTAAGGCCACACTTGGAATCCTGCATCCAGTTTTGGTCACCACGATGTAAAAAAGATGTGGAGACTCTGGAAAGAGTCCAGAGAAGAGCAACAAGGATGATCAGGGGACTGGAGGCTAAAACATACAAGGAACGGCTGCTGGAATTGGGGATGTCTAGTTTAAGGAAGAGAAGGACCAGGGGGGACAGGATAGCAGTCTTCCAATCTCTCAGGGGCTGCCCCAAAGAAGAGGGAGTCAAGCTATTCTCCAAAGCACCCGAAGGCAGGAGAAGAAGCAACAGATGGAGATTCATGAAGGAGAGAAGCAACTTGTAACTAAGGAGAAACTTTCTGACCGTGAGAAAAATTAAACCGGGGAATAACTTGCCTCCAGAAGTTGTGGGTGTTCCATCACTGGAGGTTTTCAAGAACAGACTGGACAGCCACTTGTCTGAAATGGTACAGGGTTAGGGTTAGGGTTAGATGGGTAGATAGACAGATAACAGAGTTGGACTAGAAGACCTCCAAGGTCCCTTCCAACTCTGTCTGTCTATCTATCTATCTATCTATCTATCTATCTATCTATCTATCTATCTATCTATCTATCTATCTATCTATCTATCTATCATCTATCTATCTAATCTATCTATCTATCTATCTCTATCCATCTCTCTCTCTCTATCTACCTACTTACCTACCTACTTATATCTACCTACCTACCTACCTATCTCTATCTACCTACCTACCTCTATCTATATATCTCTACCTACCTACCTACCTACCTATATCTATACCTATCTATCTACCTATCTACCTACCTATCTCTATCTATCTCTATCTATCTACCTGCCTACCTGTCTGTCTGTCTCTCTCTCTCTCTCTCTCTCCATCCATCTATCTGTATCATATCTATCTATCTATCTATCTATCTATCTATCTATCTATCTATCTATCTATCTATCTATCTATCTATCTATCTATCTATCTATCTATCTATCTATCTATCTATCTATCAGAATAGAGCTGGAAGGGATCCCCACACAACCTCACAACTTTGTGGAACACCACAATCTTAAGCCCAGCCAGCCAGGGCTACCTTACGGTCTCTTGACCTTCCAGCAAGATCAGTGGCTGCGACGGTGTGTGCTTGCCTATGTGTGTCTGTGTGTGCCTTTGTGTCACGCAAAGCTTCCTCCTGCAAGCTCTCTGCGCAGCTGTTTCCTGGGCGTGGATTACCACGGTCGCATTATCTGCTTCCAGCAGCAGAGCCTGGCTGCCCCTGTCTGAGAAGGTCACTGGGACACGGGGGGGGCCTTGTGAGAGAAGATGGGGGCCAGTTTTTGGGCACCCCACACTAGGAAGGGGGAAAGAGGCATGGTTAGCTACCCTCCCCCCTCCCCAAAACAATCAACAGCCAGAAGGAGGGCTGGCAAACTCCAGCAGCGTGCCTCCACTGCACTCTCTAGCTGAGTTGGGCCAAATGGGAATTATGGGCAACGGGAAGCTTTGGATTCTGTGGGAAAACAAAAGAACACCAGCAGTGTTAGAAGGGAGTGGGGTTTGCGAGGAGGAGGAGGAGGAGGAGGAGGAGGAGGAGGAGTTGGAAGGGACCTTGGAGGTCATCTAGNGGAGGAGGAGGAGGAGGAGGAGGAGGAGGACTGTGGGGTCCTTGGTGCTCTCTGAGCTTGCTTGTTTTTTTGCAGGCATTTCATGACCCAACTAGGTAACATCATCAGTGCTAGAAGGGAGTGGGGTTTGCAGGGAGGAGGAGGAAAAGGAGGAAGGACTGTGGGGGTCCTTGGTGCTCTCTGAACTTGGTGGTTTTCTTGCAGATGTTTCATGACCCAACTAGGTAACATCATCAGTGTATAAGGGAGTGAGGGAGGAGGAGGACGAGGAGGAGAAGGAGGAGGAAGAAGACTGTGGGGTCTTTGGTCCTCTCCGAGCTGGGTGGTTTTCTTGCAGACGTTTCATGACCCAACTAGGGAACATCATCAGGGTTAGAAGGGAGTGGGGTTTACTTTCTGTTTACATACAAGTATACAGGGAAAGCCACTCCCAATAAAAGAGAATATTTGTGGCTCAGGATTAAACTGTAGGGTCCTTGGGAATGGTGTTTGTGGAGTGGAGTGGAGGAGGAGGAGGAGGGGGAAGAAGAAGCACTGTGGGGTCCTTGGTGCTCTCGGAACTTGGTGGTTTCCTTGCAGACGTTTCATGACCCAACTAGGTAACGCCATCAGTGTCAGAAAGGAGGGGGTTTTGTTCTCTGTTTCTACACAAGTGGCCTGCCCTGTCCGTGTGAATGAGAGGCTTCTTGGTGGTTCCTCAACTAGGCTGTTGTTTACCGTGTGATTGTTTACCTCAGTGGGCAGTTCCTTGCTCAGGGCTAGGGTTTACACCTTAGTTTTTGGTCTAGTGTTACTATTGTTGACTTCTGCTTATCTGGGCCTTGATGGCTGGCGAGAAGGTTTTCTGGTACTCTCTTTTGAGTGACATGGTGTTGTTTTTATTGACTGACTGATTTGTATCCCGCCTTTATTACTTTTATAAATAACTCGAGGCAGTGAACATTCCTAATACGGCTCCCTCCTCCTGTTTTCCCCACAACGACAACCCTGTGAAGTGGGCTGGGTTGAGAGTGACTGACTGGCCAAAGTTCACCCAGCCGGCTTTCATGCCTAAGGCAGAACTAGAACTCACCATTTCCTGGTGATTGGTCCAACGCCACCTAGTCGGTTTTCCGGGCTAAGGCAGGACTAGAACTCATTTCCTGGTGATTGGCCCAAAGTCACCCAGGGGGCTTTTGTGCCTAAGGCGGGACTAGAACTCCCAGTCTCCTGGTGATTGGCCCAAAGTCACCCAGCCGGGTTTCGTGCCTAAGGCGGGACTAGAACTCCCCGTCTCCTGGTGATTGGTCAAAAGTCACCCAGGTGGCTTTCATGCCTAAGGCGGGACTAGAACTCCCAGTCTCCTGGTGATTGGTCAAAAGTCACCCAGCTGGCTTTCATGCCTAAGGCGGGACTAGAACTCCCGTCTCCTGGTGATTGGCCCAAAGTCACCCAGCCGGCTTTCATGCCTAAGGCAGGACTAGAACTCACCGTCTCCTGGTGATTGGCCCAGAGTCACCCAGGGGGCTTTTGTGCCTAAGGCGGGACTAGAACTCCCAGTCTCCTGGTGATTGGCCCAAAGTCACCCAGCCGGGTTTCGTGCCTAAGGCGGGACTAGAACTCCCAGTCTCCTGGTGATTGGTCAAAAGTCACCCAGCTGGCTTTCATGCCTAAGGCGGGACTAGAAGTCACCATTTCCTGGTGATTGGCCCAAAGTCACCCAGCCAGGTTTCATGCCTAAGGCGGGACTAAAACTCCCAGTCTCCTGGTGATTGGTCAAAAGTCACCCAGGTGGCTTTCATGCCTAAGGCGGGACTAGAACTCCCAGTCTCCCGGTGATTGGCCAAAAGTCACCCAGCCAGATTTTGTGCCTAAGACGAGGCTAGAACTCACCATTTCCTGGTGATTAGTCAAAAGTCACTCAACCAAGTTTTCATGCGTAAGGCTGGACTAGAACTCCCGGTCTCCCGGTGATTAGCCCAAAGTCACCCAGTGGGCTTTCATGGCTAAGGCAGGACTAGAACTCACTAGAACTCTCCCGCTTTCTCGCCTGGTACCTTCACCACTAGACCCAACTGCCCCTCTGATGTTGTTAATCCCGATCGGCTTGTTGAGTGCCAGGATTTAGCATTTATTGGACCCGGCACAAATCCGGGCGATGCCAGGGCC